TAACATTCCGTGTTTGGAAAGGACGCACTTACTTTAGGAATCGCAGATGTTCAACGGACTGGCAGTGCTAGTTTTCAAACTTGTTTCTCGCTGCTCTCGCTTGATCTTTCCGTTTCACGCTCCTTCTCCCGTTCTCCGCCTCGCTCTCTGTCTCACTCTCTCTGTGTCTCTGTCTCTGTCACTCTCTCTCGGTCTGTCTCTCCCCCTCGCCGTCTCTCCTTTCTCTGGACGTGTCTCCTTTACTCCGACGTGAAAAAAAGCTAGCCGTGAAAGAGTGTCCGAGTCCCCGAGGTACGGTGTGGAACGCCAAAGGGTTCGTCCTAAGGACCGTGACACGGTACGGCGAATATTCTAATCGAGGGATGACAGCTTACACAACAAGTAGGTCATAAGCGGTACGGAACGCATTACGAACGACGAGGGACGACGGGGACGGGTTAACAGTCCGATTCGAAAGTGAAACGGGGTGCGTGGAACGCGATCACGCGTGTTTACGTCGCCGGAACTCACCTCGGCTCGACGGGGACTGCGGTAACGGCTCGTAACGATTTGAAACGAGCGCACTGAGTCCACTCCATGCTTGGTACACGCACGGCCACACTCTTCCCCGATGCTTTTTCCTCCGTTCTAATCTGTCCCGGCACTCGTGGACATGCTGGCCCTCGTTCGACGCGGATAAAGATCGTCGGCGCACACTAATACTCGACGGTCACGACGCAGAGGCGCGAAAAACGCGAAAATCCCGACGGATCCGCGGTATAATGTCACGAAATACGTAGCGAGTCGGCGAACGTCGAGTCGCGACAGTGGCGGCCGTCCGCGTCAAGCGGGTAAACTAAAGTCTCTAGCCGAGGAACGCTTGGGGATATTCCCCCAACCGACGCTTCCCCCCACCATTCAACGGACGCATTCAAAGGAGGACGTGCACGCGTAACGGTCGCGGTTGTTTTTTATTGTTTTCGCGTGTTCAAATTATCCCGAACGCGCCAGAAACTTGACAGTCGTTGCTTTTGTAGAAAAAGTTTCGTTTATTCGATGCGTGGACAAGATACAAGCTGTGTAATACAGTTAACGGTCGACTTTCAATTGTGCGGAGGAGCATCGACTGTAACGCTACGGTAACATATCTTTATATTCTTTGTACATTAAAATTTGCAACAATTTGTTTTTGTACGTCGGGTCTAGGATATCGTATAGCCCGTTTTCGAGGGGAGACATATGATTTCCGTAATTTTCTAAGAGAATCTTGAACGACGACGACTCGGGCATGTCGATATTTACGCGGGAACTTATCCAAATCAAAATGTCCTCGGGCAGCGCGTTGTCCGCGAACGATTTCAAGTGCTCCGAGAATAGTTTGGCACATGCTTTCGATAATTCGACGGGCTCGAAGAAATCGTAGTTCGTACACTTATTGAACACCTGAAAATGAAAGTCAAAAAAATAAGTAGGAGACCCCATCTAGTTTACTGTTATAACATGTACTACGTACGTCCGTGTCGTCCATTTCGTATTCTACGTCATCCAGCAACGAAGTACTCCAATAGAACAGAACGGCGCACAGAAGTTCAGGATTTTTGCGATGCATATATTCATAGAATTTGATCAGAAACAAGTCCACGCCGGATTCGCTAGGTAAAGAACAATTTACTTGAATACTTTTAACCAATTCGAATGCTTGGCGTCGGACTTCCGAATTATTATCGAGCAACAATTGCAATACAGTTGTCCACCATTGAACCTGGGCAACTATAACCACACAATTAATATCGTACATACATTTAAGGATGCGCTAATGAAACAAGTTAATAACGTACATCGATATTCATCGCGTTTACAGCTAGGTAAAAAAAGATCTTGCATTATTTGCATTACGGATCTTTTGAAATCTGCATCCAAAGAGGCGACCCAAAAATTGTCGCAAAAATTATTGTACACCTCTTCCGTACATTCCAGATCGATTTCTTGCGCCTCGTTAAAAGAGGCTAGAGTTACGTACGATTTTCCGAGCAATCTCAAATAAGAATCCCTTTCGTGATAACTGCATTTATTATCATTCAATCGTAATTCGTTTAAAACAAATTTACAAATATCCGTTACTTTACAACAACTCGATGATCCAAAACGATCGGGATGCATCAAGCTGTTGTACAGAAAGTTGAACATGGCGTCTTGTAGTTCTGGACTGTACCGATTAAGGTCGTGAACTGAATTACAGATTATTTCTGTCCCATAATTTATCAACAATACTGATGCATCGTCGTGCGTTATTTCGTTAATAACGTTTACAACCGTCGACCACGCAACGATTTGCGTCTCCGGTGTAATTAAGCAATGAAAATATATTCTTATTGCTATATTTTCTTGAATTAATTGCCTTTCTCTAAATACAGTTCTTATGGACCTGATGAGAGAAATCTTATAATCTCCTCGTGCAGGTCCCTGCTTTAGTTTCTTGTATTTAATTAAATGCGATAACAGTGTATGTAGCATAGGAACTTCTTCTGCCAGGTGCACTTTGTCAGCTTCATATATTTTATTGAAAACGTTTATGTATACTGTAGCTAATAAGAAACATGGCGGATTTTGGTTTTCCCTCTCCAAATTTTTTAAAATCCAACCAGTGCTTGTTAGGAATCTGTTCCAGTCTATAGAAAATGGTTGGAGTTGCTCATGGCTGAAGTGTTTCAATATTTCAAATATCTGAAAAGAATATTATAATTATTCCTACAATTCACTGTTCTTTCAGAAGATATGAATACGTTTGTGTTACTTTGTAGATACCTGTAACATGTAACCATGTATCAAATTCAAAGATGGAGGACCTTTCTCAGCAGATATCACATATTCCATAATTTCCTTTAAAATATTTCCCACAGACTGATCCGTCAATAGTGCTACCAATGCTCTAGCAGCTAATTTACGGGTTTCATACACTTCACTTTTAGCACATTGCATAACCAATCCAATAAGATTAGTAATCTGAAATGTACTCATACTTTTAACTATCCAAATTACTGCCAGATAATCCTTACTTACTTTGCACTGAATATCCGAGGCTTCACAACTATGACTAAAATACAACCGTGACAGTAGAAGTAAAATAGATTGCACGTTTGTCTTTATAATAGTTTCATTCATCACCACGAATGACTGTAATTCATCCAGAATGAAGGGTAACAAGTACGGATATTTTTCAAAAAAGACTCTATAGTTCATTTTGTTATCCGTAGTGAGATTAATATGGTCTTTTGTCCTCTGAACCCCAAATATTCTAATGATGAGCGCACTAAATAGCAACGTCGCTGCATTTCGTTCCTGCAATTTTTTTATATCTCACGTTACTTGCTGCACGCAACGACTGAGTTATTAATGTCCAGTTATCAACTTACCGCCCATGTTAAAGCGTCGTAACTCTTAAACGCCGCTATCAATCCATCTGCTACATAATTATTTACAACTTCGGCAAGACCGGAATGTCGGAAAATGGCTCTTAAAATATTCAGAGCATGAGTTTTTATTTCTGTAACTTTAGTACTACTCCCTTCCGCATGGTGACCGTCATCATCAGTAGTTAAGGATTCAAATGTATCTTCGTATTCTGAGAATACTGTATCTGTATATAGTAATGTTTTTATAGTTTTCCATAGATCTCCACCTTCTAATTGCGTGAATCCCAACAAGATTTTCATTACAGAATCGAAGGTTGTGGTTTTTGTATCTTTATGTTGACGAAGTTCTGTAGATAGCAATGCCTGTTTAATGAAATTCTTATTAGTATGTGAAGTAGAGGGTAAACAAGTATTTGAGTTAACTTACCTGTATCATGAATGGTACACCTGCGCTTCTTCTGGTCGCACATAGCTTGGGATTCTCTTGTTTGATGCCTGTGATTGCAATGAGAATTTGGTGCAACCATATTCTCGGTAGCTCGTTTAAATTTCCTTTATTTAACCGCCAGAGGCGCTTACAGAGTTGGCTGAATCCTACATGCGCCTGTTCAAATGCTCCTCTGTGCTTTGTTTCAGTAAGCAAAGTAACCAAATGTTCTCCTATCCTAATGATCTGTGGAAACATCAGTTTGATTAATTTACTATCTCAAAAGACGTTTGTATCAACATTCTTACTGTAAATTAAAAAATTTTACTTGCTCTTCATTTAAAAGTCCTACAGACAGATCATTTTCGCATATGGGGGCATTAGTGGCAAGGTAGCCAAACAGTAAGCTAACTTCTTTCACAGTACGCCAAGAGCAAAGTAACACCATTTGTGGAGTTACTATTTCTTTTTCAGGCGATGAACCACATATTTCCTGAATAGTTTGTAAATTAAGATCCATTGGCAGATGTCCTTCTGGCGAAGAATTGTTAACTATCACAGACACTGCATCACTATACTCAAAGCACACAGCTATAAGTTCACCTACAGTGTCTTCCCATAAAAGTTCTTTGCCTGCTTTACTTAAATTGCATTCTTGCAGTAAACTTCTAATACAGAAAAGGTAGCCATACAGAGAATGCTTAGTGACTGTCATTACTATATTCTCTCTTGCAAGAATCAGGGATTCCTGTAAACAAATGAAATATTGATCAATTGTGAAGCTACTAAGCGATATGTCTAAAGAAGTAAATTCACCTTCAACCTCTTTAACAAAATCAGTATCAATTGCAGTGCTATTGCTTCTTCCACATTTTCAGACCACTTTCTTATACCGAATAAAGTATTAAGAACCTTCTGTATGACAGGAGATAACATGCAAACTTTCAACATGTATGCAGATGTAATGCTATCAATTGGTCTGATACTGTTACCTAGTTCTATGGCAACTGTAACAAGATCAAGAACATTACTCTCATTATCTAGCTGTAACAAAATTGGATCTACTGACTTTATTAAATTAAAAGCCATTTCTTTGTTAACTTCATATGTATCCAATATCATTAGATCAAACAAGGCTTTCGTTTGCTCAGCCGTCCAGCTAATATGCTGGAACTCATTGTCTAACAGATCTCTCATCAAAAGCAATATTTGCAAGGAAGACCGCCTTCTACAATATGTTGCATCAGGTCCACATATGCATGTTTCGCGTAATGATTTAAATGCACTGCAATACATTGCTATGTCCTCTTTTAATTTAGCAGATATCGCGTTAGATGTATCCAACACTTGTTGCTTCATCTCTGAAAGATCACAATTCTTCTCATAATGACTTCTCATTTTTTCTTCGTGACTGCATTGTCTTCTCATCACAGCCAGACTGTCTTTCATTCGCTTCAGAGCCTATGAAAAAGGATAGATAATTTAATGCCACATCACCGACTTCAATCTTTATTGATTTTACCTTTTTTATTAATGGCACATATTCTATTTTCTCCTTGAAATTAATACGCAAAAACAGGATAACAATGCCAAGTTCTTTAGAGAAAAATTTCAAAGTGCTCTTCTTAGATTCTATTATCAATGCAAGTGCATTCAATTTAATCTGCAAAAGAAATGGACCGTCAAGATTGTAGCATGGTAGTTGTATAAATTTCATTTATAAATTCAACTACCTCGTCGTCGTGATGTTGCACGCAGTATTGCAAAGTATCGTAAGCAATAGAATCCCGCCAAAGACTCTCATCCTTCGGATTAAAGAGTCTCTCGTTCGTGTCCAATTCTCCACTACGCTTCAACGCCAATAACTCCTTCAATTTCTTCTTAATCTCCTCTTGTTCAGTCATGTTGAACTTCACTGGACGCTACACAGCTCTGGAACACGTGGTCATTGCTTGGTTAAACACGTTGTATGAATCGCAGGTGGTAATAGTAGTAGTAGTAGTAGTAAATATATAGTAAATAGTAACAGTAGTAACACCACAGAGATAAGACCTTCAGAATGAATCCCAACGTACAATGTATTTTCGTGGCCCGATTTCCCGGGGCGCTGATGTCTATCGTCATTTTCATGACCACGTGCAACGTTATCAACGGAGTCTCGATAAAGAAAAATAATAAATTGCAAACATTAATGACGAGCTCAGCACAGCTACTACAGATATTCTCCGCTATAGGAATTTTTCTCTAGTCCTGGGAAGACTATTAGCACACTTTAGGACTTTAGTAAATATCCTCGTTTAACAGCTATTTGCGCGTTTTACCATTTAAAACACGAGAATCGTGGTATAAAAGATAGTTTTTTATCGACAACCAGCTGATAGGAGGCAACTTTCTCTACAGCGGGTACAAACGACCGTTGTACAGTGGTGGCCTCTATTACCACAGTTTCCACCGCTTAAAACCGAATAGAGACGAACACCTAAATACACCGCTTAACAATTATGTATGCCGATGTGCCAGTTAATGGCCATCAAACCCGCACATTTTAATTATTCCTCTTCCTAGTAGGCAGTGCCGTACAGTTTTATACGGTTATAATTATTAACGCGAACCAGCGGAAGCCTGTAACACTCGTAAAACCCGGGAAGTAACAGTCGTTTAGCCCGTAACGTAACTTTCCGCTTACCTGTATCCATGCGATCGCGTTTTACGAGATTATCTTACCTTTCAGAGCGCAGAATCAACCACGATTTCATTCATCCGAACGGAAAAAAAGGAACGCGACGTTCAATCGTGAATATTGAATGGATAAAATGAAAGCGGCGTCGCGTGCGTCGGCCATTCGTAATGTTTCACGGCCGAAAACCGTTCCCAGGGAGCCAATATTTGCTCGGACTCGTTACCACGCGAGATATTCGCGAGTATGACGAGGTCGCGACGGCGGCGGACACAGAAATATTGATTCGAAAAATAACTGGGAACCGCTAATTTAAATAATTGCGTGTCGAGCGGCGAGGTCCCCTGCGTGGGGTCACTCTGATAAATTGCTTTTAATTAAAATCGATTTTTCTCGTGTACATACAGGCGAATCGAACTAACCGGAAGCCCGTTAGCCGCGTCCGCGCGGCCGCTCGAAGCTCGCGAACCGCCGCGATAAGCGGAAGCGGTGCCAATTGTCCTATGGCGATCCGAGTGCGGGGAATATCGGGGATAATTCAATGCTCGGGAATAAAATGCGCGCGATACACGGTTCGGGCAACGGCCCCGGGCAAACTCGGGTTCACTTTTTAAATAGTTTCCGACTAATTTTAACCAGGCCGCTGTCTTATTGTGTAACTGACCTATACCGGGGCCGTCCTCCTCGATTTTCCTCCGCTTCCTGCACGGGTCGGCCGTCCCCGTTGTTGTTGTTAGTTAAATTAGAAGTCTCGCGTCGCGTCGCGTCGCGTCGCGTGCATTTTCACGGTGCACGGCAAACATTTTCACCATCAACGATTCTCCGCTGCCGCGGGCCGGAAGAACAATATTTAATCGCGGCTGCTGCGCCTCTAGCCGCGCGCGTAAATTCAGTTACACCGTAACGAGCGCAACGATTCCTTCGTATTGTATTTTTATTTTTCGCCCAACAGCGGAACTGCGCCGACCCGACGGTGGGCTTGTTTTTTGCCGCGGGGAAACAGTTGCCATGCGTGGAGGAGAGGCGGAGAAGAGAACAGAGAAAAAGCTGGAAAATTCGAAGCGAGCGTCGGGGAGCAGCTCGGTGCTCGGGAACGCCAGAGCCTACGATAAGAGTCATAAAGCGAGGCAATGAGATCCGTTGCCGCCTGTTTATCGTTGTACCTGTACGAAGAAACGTGACGTTTACCAGGGACGGCGACAGGAACCTCCGACCGTAAACACGCTTATCGCGCGAACCTTATCTACGTTTTTCTCGCGCGACGCGCGGGCGCACACGCTTCTTCGTCCGCTGAAAAAGGGGAACGCGTATATATCCGAGGCGACGCTCCGCTCCTTCGGAAGACTAACCGAAGACCCGACCCGACTCTAAAGAATTACCCGCTTTGTCGTTGAATAACCGGGGACACGTCTACCGACACCGTTTTCCTCGAATTTGCCGGCGGTGACGCGGAAACGGCGGGTGTCGCAATCCTCCCGCCGGTTTTCCCCGTGGATCGCGGTGCAACGCCGAGCGACAAGGCGGCCGTCGTTAATTCCTGTCGCGCGGAAAGATGAATCTTTCGGGGTTGCGCAACAATCGTTGTCTTTCCTTACTTTAATTACACGTCGTTGTGGGAAGGGTCCCAAGACTGTTTCCGACCATTCTCGTCGCCGAAGGTCTCTCCTCTCCTCTCCTCTCCCCTCTGCTCTCTGGCACGACCGCGAGACAGTCTTGAGAACATCGCTCCGCCATGTTCGCGGCCGAGATAGAGAACGATCTTATCGTTAACCGAGAGTTTCGTTACCGAGCTCCGGACAATTTTCGGCTGGCAAACGATCCGATTTGGTCTTCTATTGTTCCAGGATCGCGGCCCGCAGAAGCGTTTCTCGCGCAACGGAAGGTCCTGCTCGAACGTTCGACGTTCCGGTTCACGGTGCGAACGATGCCTGCAACGTGGGATCATCGGCGCTGGGAACAAGTTAGCTCCGGGCCACTAGCTGCAACTCGAATCACTCTTTTCACGTGTCCGACTGGGAATTGTCCGACGCACAGGTAAATAACCGAGAATCGTCTGCTGATTCAATTTACCGCCTCCCACCGCCGACGGTCCCCCGTCGAATCCAATTAACGGCGAATTATCGGGCTTCCCGGATAATCGACAGCTACCCGCAATCGAATTCGACGCGTTGCTCCGTCAAACGCATCGACTTCGATCTTGGATAAAGATCGTCTTACGTTTCGCGGGGATGAGATTGCTGTCGACGTTATCGATATTTTATCGTCTTTATTGCATTAAGTCGTTCAACGGTTTCAATCGCGAAACTCTCTCTATTTAGGCTAACAACGGAAGCCAATTCTTTCGGACAGCCTAGATTCTAGCGAAACTTCGAACATGTTACATCGACGTTTCATTCACGAATGTCGCTGGTTCGTTACGCGCGTTAACCAGTTAGCGTGTATAATCGATCGAGTCTGAAATACTCGTTACACGAGTCGGAATGTTCGAACGCAGCCCGATTCGAGAACAAAAGCGGCTCGAAAGCCCAAGGTGTTTCGATGCGTGAACTTCGATACGAACTTACGTAAGCGTATTCGAACGTCGGAAGCTGGTCCTCAGCCGTAGCCAGGCCCGACAATAAGTGCTTTTTAAACAGCGAGGGGACGAGAAGTGGTTTCCTAGCCCTGAGGTCGGTCTCCACGCTTTGTGGAAGCTGCGCTGGGCGTCGACTGCGCCGCTTCCGGGCCACTCGCTCTCCGCTCCTACAGAAGCGAGGGGGAACGACGCGAGAATTCGCACGCGGACAGGCTGCGGGATGGTTCGTGTCGGCTTTCCGCGGAACGGAGAGGACAGGACACGCGGAACGGGGTCAGTATCTCTCCGTGTACCCGCGTAATAATACGTTTAACGTTATGCCGGCGGCCGATCGAACGTTTCGTCGCGGCTGACCGCGCTTCATTGTTTGCCGGCAAGTCGACGGCGCACCGCAAATCACACTCCGCAGCTTGCAGCACGTGTTGCACGTTGCACGGTCTCGCCACTGATACCCGATGGCCCGTATTCGGGGATCCGATACTGATTGGCCCTGGCCGTCCCGAGTACGTGAGCAAATTCCACGACGAGAGCGCACCATTGTCCCTGTTTCTGCTCGAGGTGATCCTCTTCCTCGGCCCTGTAAACGAGATTTCGTAAAGCTCGAGTGTCATTCGGCGGCGCTCCATCGAATTCTTTATTTCAGGATTCTCAGTTCTCGATCTCGTTTCTCGTTGTCCGTAACTCGCGGTCGGGAAGGATGAAAAATGGGAAGAGAGAGAGAGAGCGGCGAGGATCCACGGTGGAAGCGTACCGTCGCGTCGGGTCGGTGGCTAAAATAAATTCGCGTTTCCGGAGACGCTCGCGCGGAAAGTCTTAAAAAGGAAAAGTGAAACAAATGGCCGCGCCACTTGCCCAATAGCGCGAGAAAGCCGCGAGGTCAACCGAATTTCCACCCGCTGAAAAAGGAAAGTTTGCTTTACTCGAGATCCGGCTGGAGACGAAGGCAAACGTCGCTCGGTGAAAAGCTCGCGAGTGGAGCACGAAAAGTTTCCCTTTCCCGCGCGTATATCTACAGTCGCCAATTAAAAATTTCAATTATATCCGCGTCCGCCTTGAACCGAACGCACTTTCGCCCAATTAAAACCGCTGCCCAGAGTTCCATAAAGCCGCGCCGGCTTTAAAACATAACCCGCGGAACGAATTCGTGCCGCGTTTTCGCGGCCCGGGAGACCGGAAAAAATATTCCGCGCGGACCGGACGAATTAAGAAATCCGTCTCGAATGGAAACTTTATTAAATTCCGGGACTGAAAACCGCCCTCGCGGTGGCTCGGCTCCGTATCCGGCGGTCGTTCTGAAAGCATTCTTGTGTGTCGGGTCCAATGAAATTTGTGTACCACTCGCGGGACCATTTTCGAAGACCGCTTTCAGCGACCCGTGAAACAAGCTGCGGGAAATTTCGTTGGCAGTGCCTTGTCTCTCCGTCGGATGTTCCCCGACGGAATCGGAGCGGCGCTTTATCGGACGGACGGTTATTTACGCGCGACGCGCTGTTACGACACAATCGTTCGTTACACTTACCCGTCGTCCCGGTTCGGAGTCCCGATCTTTAATCGAGTCGGATCGATTCGCCTCGAAACGCGCGCGATCACTGTTCGGGGCGTGATCGACCCACGGAATTTGCATCCTCCGTTTTCTCAAGGCAATTTGCAATTTCCTGGTATCGTTCCAACGTCGGGCGTGCCCGTGAACGCAGCTGACACGAATGAAAAACAGACGAATTCCGTTTTGGAGACTGCACTCGTTCGACTGCCGTCTTCTTCCAACGGCGGAGTGGCTTTTCTTGTAAATTAATGTCTCTTAATGCGTATACGATCTTTCTAAACGAATATCACACTTTACTCCGTACACGCTTCATTGTGTATAAAATGCGCCTGAACCTTTCCGACCTACAGGGAAAACCTCCCATTAAGCTCAACCACTTGAACCATCGATGTTATCGTTGGATTCCTACAGTTTTTAATTCCGTTGTTGAAGCACCGCTCGGCGATCATCCGATATTGACGCACCAATTACATTACTTCCCGATGCGGTTCTGAAACGGGTAACGCTCGCCGAATCACGAGAACATCGAACGGAAGCGCAGGTTCGACCGTGTTTGACTCGCGAACAGGAAAGTTTACCTCG